ATGTGCAAGTACCATGCCATGAAAGGCTTTAAAGGTACGAAACAGCACTTGAACCTGAAACCACAAATAAGGGCCCAGTTAAGTTGTTTTAAAATGGAAATATAAGCATCCTGACTAATCTCATTCAAAAGATAGGCAGCCACATTTAGCACTAATTAAAGCAGGGGTGTCAAACATGTGGCCCAGGGGCCAGATGAGGCCCCCAGAGGGCCTCTATCAGGCCCTCACTGTCTCCTGCTTCTTCCTCCAGTTCTGTTGCTTGCTTTGCCAGACTCTCTCAATCTCTCAGGAGAGACAGATAGGAAAGCTTCTTCTTCTTTTTTAAAAAACATTTTTATTGCTTTTTCTATACTACAAACCTACAGGGTCAGGGGAAGGGAACAACCTAAAACTACGAGTAGCAAGGGTCATTAATACATGAGTTTAAAGTAGTCAATATTTCCCTATTACCCAGATAGTAATACATGAAAGTTGATACTGTAAAAGTATAAAAGTATAAAGCGAGCAATCACAATCATACTTGGCTAAAGTGTGTGCTTCTTAGCTTTAAGATTATTAATTAATAATAAACATCAGATTGTAAAAGTTACTCTATTTTGCTTATTTCCTTCCTCTACGTTTCTTATCAAAATCCAGTCTAACTTTTAAAGCAGCAGCCCCTAATTCTGCTTCAAAGTCTGAGGATTCTGCCGAGCTGCTTGAGGTATTGTCAAAGCTTTCCCCCTTTTTATCTTCTTCTTTTTCTGCATCTTTGTTGTCCTCCACTTTCTCAGATCCATCTCTTGCTTTCTGTTGTTGCTCCAGGAATATTTTCGCTTTAAGAACAGAGTCAATCTTTTCTTTTTTCTCATTGTAGTTGAAGATAAGGCCTTACGGTATTATCCATCTGTATGGCGTGGTATGGTTTTGCAAAAAACAATGCTAAGTCTCTGTATTGTCTCCTTCTTTTCCTGATCTCAAATGGAACGTGTTTTAAAACTTTGATTTGTTCTCCTTTGATTTTCAAGACAATTCCATTTGTCGCTTTCAAAATTAAGTCTCTTGTTGACGTTTTTGAGAATTTTGTGTATACTTCCCTGGGTAGCTTGTTTTTTTTAATATAAATTCTGGATATGTACAATATACCAGATCAATATAGCTTTGTATCACTTCTGCTGTTAAGCCTACCACAGGAGCCAGCTCTTCACTTAAAATCTCTTTCAAGTTCTCTCCTTTCTACTCCAGAATGTTTTGAAATCTCAGGACATACGCTGATTTTTCCATTTGAAGAAGCAGCAATTGTTGACTCTCAGAGATTTTTTCTTTTTCCACCACCTCCAGTCTTTGTCCAAACTCTTTGGACTTAGCGTCAACTTTTTTCAGTTTCTTGGCTAACTTCTCTGTTTTTGCGGAAGTTTCTTTGAGCTCCTTTTGCAACATATCAAACTTGTTGTGAAGGTTGGTCACCTGGTCCAGTACAGGGCGCAAAGCTGCAGCAATCATTTTATGAAAGTCTATGGTTACTTCCAGTTTAGTGACTGGAGACGATGTGCTGGCAGTTCCTGTTGTAAGTTTCGATTTCGTCACCATTCTTTCTGCTCGCTGCGTCATTGTTTACAGTTAGCAAAAAGTTTTAAGAAGTCTCTGAAGGTCTGGTAATTAAGCGTTTTCTTGCTAATCTGCACCACACTCAGTCAAAATCCACTCCCTTCAAGCTGCCCTCTCAGTGCCCGCTTTTAACTCAGTCTTTTCGGGATCTGGGATTCCCCTCCCCCTTCCGCTTGTTTGGGGCTTTGGGGCAGCTTTAGGCGGTTGTGCGCTAAATCGTGGGTTCACTCCCATTTTTACTTGCGATTGATTACAGTGTAGAGAAGATAGTTTCTCTTGGATCACTTGCATGCTCGGACCGGTGTGCACCTCTAGATGTCATTGCTGGGTCTGTGCCGTGAGGACCTATCAGGGCAAAAAGGAGCCTCGATCCCTTAGCTTCTGCCTTGGGAGAGGCACTTCATGCGCCCCCCCTACAAGGGGTTGTGGGGGTCCAAAATCAACTCAGACCCCTCCCCATTGGCACATTTGCGGGCTGCTCACATCAGAGCTGCGTTGGAGCTCACCCACCTGCAAGTCGCCAAAAAACAGAAGTTCCCAGATAGGAAAGCTTCTGTTCCTTGCACTGACTGAGGCTCCTCCCCCTCCCTGGGGGGGAGGGAATGAGCCAGAGGTTGCTTCCTGGCTAGGCTGCCTCAATTGCACAGTAGAGAAAGGCAAGCCTTTCTTCCCCTTCATTGGCTGAGGCTCCTCCCCAAAGGGTGGGAGGGAAAGAGGGAGAGCTTGCTTTGCTTGGTTGCCTCAGTCACACAGGAGAAATACAAAGCACTTTTAAGACCAACAAAGTTTTATTCAAGGTATGAGCTTTTGTGTGCCTTGCTACAGTGTGTGTGTTTTTTTGAGTTCATTATACTAGGGCTCTCCTGGGTGCAACTGGGTTCCCTCCCCCTTTTCACTGTATTCATGCCCTCATGATCCAGTCTTTCTCAGTATGAAAGCAATTTGAACTATTTAGATGAGGAATAACAAGCCAGTGAGGTGGATTAGGCTGAGAGTTTGTGTGTGTCCAGACCAAGTTCACCCAGCACATTTCCTTTGGGGATTTTGAACTTAGACTTCCCAGATAGTAGGCTGATACTGTCCACTGAGGAAGACTATAGTTTTGTAGACAAACACATAACCCTTAGTCTGTGCCATGGGGCCTTCTCATGTTCTTGACCAGCACACAAAGCAATTTATGTACAAAAACTCACAATGCCCAGCCATTTCATGTTTTCCCCTGGGTCCGAGGTCCTAGAAATCTGAGCATGATATTTCTGTTATGAATGTCAGTAAATCAAAAGTAAGTTTGCAGCTTACAAGTACACACTTGAACAGCATACTCAAGATTGCTACAGCACAGACATTTTGATGCAATAATTTAGAGCAAGAGGTGTCAGTTATCAGACACTGTTAAATAAACAAAATATTGCAAGAGTACTAATATTTTAAGCACGTTTTAAAGTTAAAAAATCTTTAAGCGTGTTTGTGTCCTTTATAAAGTTTATATCTCTGCTACCTGGCATTACATCTTATGACACACATGGCCCAGTCCAACAAGGTCTCATTTATGTCAGATCCGGCCCTCATAACAAATAATTTTGACACCCCTAAATTAAAGCTTAAAGCAAGTGATAGGTGACATAAGCGTGAATTAGTGATGGTAGACAAGGTCCGCCACATTCAGGAGGGAAGGTTACTTATTCACTAGGTAGAAATGGAAAATGGCAGCAACTGTACCAAGCTGTTTCTCCATCAACAAGTCCAAGAGAGCTCCTAATATCTTAACATGATCATCTAATGATAATTTTACTCCATCTAAAACTGGTAAATCAGTCCTTTATAGGAATAAGAACTGAGGACTGGTTCTTCTGATTATTGAAATGTTTTGTTTACCTGATACAAGAAGGGAGCAGAGTTCCACCACAATATCAAATTACATGTTCAATTTTTTAATCACAATAAGCAATTTTTAAAAAATAAAAAATAAAAGTAGATTCTATTCTTAACCTGTACAGTGCTATATTTCTGCTCCATTTTTGTCCTAAAGTAACTTACTGTAGTCCCAGATGAATCAAATTCCCCCATACATTCTCAGCTTCCATGTACACGTATCAATGCAAGTGTATATTTTATACTGGCACTCAATATGAAGATGGATATTATTTTTGCAGTTCTTATCACTGGCCAAGCACAACACATTTCTCATATGAAGCTCAGCAAATATCCAGCGGAACCAACTATCCTATTAAACCTCATGTTTATTGCAGACTCTGACAAAAACATGTTAAGAACTAAGCAAATATTAAAGAGCTACATCTAGAAAAGCAACCAGGAAGAGAGTTGTAATTCCACTATGTCTCAAGGTTTTTCAGCAGCTGGATGGATTTCTAAAGAGAGACACATATGCTGAAGCTCTCAAGTTACTACTTTCTGTGAAGAAAAGGTCATATAAGCAGTGGAGCAGCAAAAAAAAAACTTTCTACATTTCTCTCTTTTAATGCACTGATTTATCGAAGTTTAGCAATGGGGGTTAGGTGAAAAGACATCAAGCAACTGGAAATCCTGCCGTGTTGGAATTACACAGCGATCTCTAATGGATAAAAGTACACTCAAAAGCAGAAAACTTATTTTGGGAGAGAAGGAAAAATGAAACAATTCTGCTGCTAAATTTTATGAAACCACCATCTTCACCACTACTACACAACTAATAATAAACTTGTATCAAAAAGAATCTGGAGAAGGAAGAAAAGATATCCTTAGACTAGTGCTCTGTACAGGAGCTAGGTGACTTTCAGTAAGCACCCAGACACATTACTATCACTTACAAGTGAATGTCCTCCAGCATGGCCCTTACAGTTTGCCATATCATGCCAGTATTCAGACATTTTTATTAGAAAATATCCCTCCCATTTGTTGTATGTTTATTGCTACAATGCCAAATGCATTGTATTGGGAGATGTATTGGCACACACATTACAGAAACTGCAGGTTATCTTTAAATTAAAAAAAATAATAACCTGGAAAAAAGATCAATCAATTTTAAAAAATGGCATCTAGGGAAAAACCCATTATAGCCAATACTTACAGACAAGAAAAGCTGTATACAGCTGCCTAGAAGGGAATGAAAAGGCAAGAAAGCTTTGGAGAACTAGAGGATTTAAGATCAGGGAACCAGACTCCGGTGCAAAAGAAAAGGAGATGTATTTTTGCTAATTGAGCTAATCTTTCAAATATTTCGTGCTATGGAGTTGCACACTCATGACAATCGAAAGACTGGAATTTAACTAAATTTTATTCATTGTATCCAAGTGGATGAGCTGCATACAACAATATTTTCTTAATTTAACGTATGTTCCCCTGAATTGCAAATTATTACATTTTTAAGCTTTTTTGTCCACTATTGCATCAGCAAACCACATTTTTATAATTACCTCTTATTACATAATTGTCCAAGGCCTCTTCCATTCGTTTCAGAGCTTCAGCTCTATTGGATCCATAGGTGATCAGCTGCAACAAACAAACAAAAATCTATAAATTACATTCAGTACCAAAGATTAATCCTTTCCAAGATTTCCAAAGATTAATCTAAGCAGTCATTTCGGTAGATGACATGACTAGTATTTTGAGATAATGGGGTGGATCCTACCCCTATCCGACCATTCTACTAAGCAAAGTAGGAACCCTTCCTCCAGCCTTATTGGAGGAAGAGTCATTTAAGGTGGAGGAAGGCTCCTGAAGGATGACTAGATCCTTCTCAATAAAAAACCTTTCTTCTATTCAGTCCCCCACCAACAACCATTATGATTGTCAAAGCTTAAAGCCCCAAATATTTAAGAACATAAGAACATAAGAGAAGCCAATGTTGGATCAGGCCAATGGCCCATCCAGTCCAATGCTCGGTCACACAGTGACCAAAAATACCAGGTGCCATCAGGAGGTCCATCGGTGGGGCCAGGACACCAGAAGCTCTCCCACTGTTGCCCCCCCCCATGCTTGTAGCTGCCACCACCTGTGGCAGTGAATTCCATGTGTTAATCACTCTTTGGGTGAAGAAGTACTTCTTTTTATCCGTTCTAACCCGACTGCTCAGCAATTTCATTGAGTGCCCACGAGTTCTTGTATTGTGAGAAAGGGAGAAAAGTACTTCTTTCTCTACCGGCTCTATCCCATGCATAATCTTATAAACCTTGATCATGTCACCCCTCAGCTGTCGTTTCTCCAAGCTAAAGAGCCCCAAGCGCTTTAACCTTTCTTCAGAGGGAAAGTGTTCCAACCCTTTTATCATTCTAGTTGCCCTTTTCTGTACTTTTTCCAATGCTATCATATCCTTTTTGAGGTGTGGTGACCAGAACTGTACATACTATTCCAATGAGGTTGCACCATTGATTTATACGGGGCATTATGATACTGGCTGATTTGTTTTCAATTCCCTTCCTAATAATCCCCAATGATATCCAGGACCCCTTCTTACGAAGCAAGCAAGATTCCATATGATCACCATGCCCTACCATATGCCCAGTTACTTACATTCCAAATGATGAACTCTGACACTATCACCCAGCCTTATTATTAATCTAATAAATTACTTTGCATTTGCTCTAGAAGCTTGACATGTACATTGTACCTAAATGTTACAGCATCAACTAATGAAGCAAGAGAAACTCCAACAGCGTAACACTAAGAATAATCTCTCTGTGCTTGCTCATGTGACTGTTATCTTTTGTAAAACTACCTTGTCAGGTTTTTTTAATTGTTAAAATTTATATTTTACCGGATTTTTTAAAATCCCCAAAGCCTTACTTTTGAAATCATGGGATCATAGTAAATGCTGATTTCACTTCCTTGTTGTATGCCGCTGTCAACACGGACCTTTTAAAGAATGAAAGAAGACAGTTTTACCAAGAGTAAAAGGCCTTTTGGAGGGAAAGAGTTGAATCAGCAAACTGGACCCAATTAATTACAGTACATTGCTAGTCCACTGGTCAGAATTATAGGACATTCTATCACTGCTATTACACTTAAGTTAGTTTTACTACTGTATATATTTTTTATTTTTGTAAAACATCCCAAGAACCTCAGTTATAAGCCAGGCTATAAATGTCTTAAATAAATGAATTACAACTGATCTTACACAGACGTTCTCAGTGGTTTGTGTTTTGCAGTTCTCAAATCTAGAACTCTCAGTGTGGGCAAACCCTGATTAAATCACCATTACAAAATGCACATAATTATTCTTGTAACTGATACCTAGCATCAAAAATGTCCTCACAGTGTAATCGTACCCCCTGTGCCCCACTGTACCCAATATCCAAGGGCCCCAGTAGGGGTACAACTGAAGCATGTTCACCAGGAGCCATGGAGTTCTGCTTATCAGCTCTATAGGAGTACTGATCTGCTAGCTTTTATGTCTGAGAAACTTTCCTTTTGTACCTCACCCTCATCTGGGCCATATTTTTCTTCTCATGATGCCATTCCCTTGAGGCTTGAATGTTTACACAGCTTTTTCCATGACTCTGCTTTATGAGGATAGAGCCACAATTAAATTTCTGACTCTGCAATGCAGGGGTAGGGTGGGGTAAGGGACACACTTGGATATTTCTTTTGAAGAACCTGATAGTCATTGGCCAACAAAACTTGATACTATTGCTGATATCCATTTTCAACTGTTGGTGTGATTTTTACCACAGCAACACTGAGGTTTATCCATATACATTTTTTCAGTGACTAATTCTCCAATAAATAAATATTTGTTTAGACTGTTGCTTTCGAAAGTTTGGAAACCACACCAATCCCAACACCAACAAAATAATTCAAAACTACTAACATCTTGGAAATATGAAGGAGAAAAACCAAAGGCAGATAATACAAAATACTATGCGTGGGAGTGGCGGCAAAGGGGGGAAAGAGCTAAGAAACTTCCCTTCAATCTTTACCTGGGGGGAAAAAACCCTTGTAATAAAACAGCTCATCTGTCTGCAGCAAGGCAGAAAGAGGTCAACCCAACGGCTGTTAGGCTTTTAGATTTTAATTTAGGCAATTATCAAGGGGCCAGATGTAGAACCTCTTGTCTACAGTATCCACATGAGGTCACAGTGATGACTTTATTATCCAAATGACATGTCCTAATAGGCTTTATTCTCTGCAATGGAAACCGCTTCACATTTTTTTTCCTGGTGGAAAAAAAATTAACTGTGCCTTTACAATAGTACAATTACATGTTCATTAATGCAGGCTTTATAACTGCAATAGCAGCTGTCTAGCACATTCGTTAGAAAAACGCCAAGGTGCCTTAGATGCACTAACTTCAGTCATCAGCAAGATGTTTTTCCTTAACACTATTTCAAATAGGACAAGAAAATCTGGAAGTCTTGCAATGTCATGACCAATATGGTAGAGAAGGAAGATCTGACTGCTCAACTCCCACTTCTGCAACATCTTTACCGTGATCAACAGCATAACAGTTTGTTATCATCTGCCTTTTCTCCACCAAACCAGAAATAGGAGTGGGGGGAGGGGAGAATGCATCTACCCTTTGGATGCCATGCAAGTTTGGCACCTCATATTCTAAAATGCCTAACAGTGTTTAAACTTGGTTATATTTATAACCCACCTTTGGAATTCAGGCACAGATAGGCTGCATGTTTTCTGGCAACACTAAGTTATAAAACAATTTTGGAGAACAGTGTTGGATACAATAGACATGATGGGGTATAATTAACCATCTGAGCCTAAGGTACATTTTGTTAGGTTTTCTTCAGACCATGGATGGGGTTTCACTTAACTGAATGCTCCTCCAATTTTTATGTTTTTTTAAAAAAGTCCCTCTATATAAAAAAGAATATTTCAGAGTCTGGAAATGTTGGAAATACCATAGAGCTGGAGCTGCAGTGGGAACTGGGAAAATATGCCAACAGCTTGCACAGTGAGGGAAAGCAGTTCCTATCAATTTCCTACTTCCTATTGCAGTGTCCCACTACCATATCCCATTCTATTGGAAAGAGTTCATAGCCCTAAGGAATGACTGGAGGGTGTGGGTGGCTTAAGTAGTAAATAGAAGCCAACAATGATCTGTCCTGCAGACTCCATTACATTCACAGGACTTCGGACAGAAGGCTACTTTTAAAGCGAGAACAAAGTAAATCCCACCAAGATACAAGCTTACAACCTCAGTGAAAAAAAACACCTTAGCACAAGACATAACATAAATGCAGGGGTCTTTTGGGGCCGGAGCATGCCGAAGCGCTGCTCCGGGAGCCCAGGAGCTGACAAAATGGCGGTGGCAGCAAGCCCCGCCCCCCAGCTTCCCCCACTACGGCCTGTCGCCGGCCTCCCGGGGCCCGCGCTGGAGCACTGAGGCCCTAGGGAGGCCCGTCGCCACCTCCCCAGGCCAGCGCCAGAGCGCTGCAGTCCTGAGGAGGCCAGACGAGCCCCCCCGCTGCCTCCTCCGGCCAGCGCCAGAGCGCTGGGGCCTGGAGGAGGCCAGAAGAGGCCCCCCACCGCCTCCTCTGGCCAGCGCCGGAGCACTGAGGCCCGGAGGCCAGCAGAGGCCCCCCGCCACCGCCTCCGGCCAGCGCCAGAGCACTGCGGGCCGGAGGAGACCAGCAGAGCCCCCCGTCGCCTCCTCCGACCAGCGCCGGAGAGCTGTGGGCCAGAGGAGGCCCCAAGAGTCCCCCGCCGCCACCTCCGGCCAGCGCTGCAGCACTGAGGCACGGAGGAGGCAAAAAGACCCCCCCGCCGCCGCCTCCAAGCAGCGCCGGAGCGCTGAGGCCCGGAGGAGGCCAGAAGAGCCCCCCCACTCCTCTGGCCAGCGCCGAAGCGCTGAGGCACGGAGGAGGCAAGAAGAGCCCCACCGCCTCTGGCCAGCGCCAGAGCACTGGGGGCTGGAGGAGGCCAGAAGAGGCCCCCCGCCGCCTCCCAGGGTAAGGGAGGGATCTGTGGGGGGTGGCAGAGGCTTGAGGGGCGGGGGGGG